TCTTGAGGGCTCCCACGTGAAACATCTTAGAGGCGTCTGTGTGCGCGCCGCTCGCCGCTCGCCGCTCTAAGGTCCGCTGCATCTCAGGCCTGGCCCAAGAGCCCCAGGGGCACGGGCAGGGCTCTGCCTCCCTTCAAGGCGGCCCACCGCTAACCTCCTGACATTGACGGCCACGTTGTGGTCATGCAGGAAGATGCTCCCGTTTGCAGAAACCACACACTGAGGTGTTTGGCAACTGACCCTGAGATCATTCAAGTACTTACAGCGGTTCAGGATGGTCCCAAATGGTACAGACGACAGATCAGACCCCATCCTACCTTTCCTTCCAGTGACTTCCCAAGACGTGCAGGAAAAAAGCCACATGCGTGCCATGGCTTACCGGGCCTGTGTAACCAGGACCTTCACTGCTGAACACCTGCCCCCACACACTCCACTCCAGTCAGCGGTCAGATCCAGCAATGCATTTCAGACGTCCGGGCCTCCCTCTCCTCAAGGTCTTTCTTCGGACGTCACTTCCTCAAAGAAACGGCCCTCAGCTCCTGTACAAAACAGGCTCCCAATCTTCCCACACTCTCTACCCCTACAGATCCTGGCTCCACACCGCCATCCTTGCCTTTGCAGCCTCGAGTGTGGGACACACAGGCCTTCCGCCTCCCCCACCAGACCCAGGCCTTCGTCCCACCTGCTGTAGTGTTTCCAGGGCCCACAGTGGCTCCCAGCACCTGGCAGGCAGCAAATAAACACTTCCGTGCACAATGAAGAGGCTGGAATGATGTAGTTGCTATTCACTACTCTCCACAGGCACGACACGACAAGGTGAACTGGCCCAACTCCCAATGTATCCCATGGCTCGAGGGCAAGGGCCCCCCTGGAGAATTCCACCAAGCGCCACACTCAGCAGAGGGGGCGTGGAATACCCACAGCCCAGCTTGCCCAGCCCCCTCTCCCTGGGAGACTCGCCCCCAAGCTGGAGCTTCCCTGGCAAGTCAGGGTCATCGGGGACATCGCAGTCCTCAGGGGTCAGTCCCCCCCAGAAGCGGCATCCTCACGGCCCTCAGGCCCTGCTGGAGTGATGTGACCTTGCACAGCTCCCAGCTTCTTGTTCCTGGGAGCTCAGAGCACGTCAAAGGCCTTGCTTGGCCAAATGTGGTTTCCTCATTCCAGGCTTCTACCGCCCGATGGCGCTGAACCCGTTTCACCGCCCTTCACCTGAGTCGTCTCCAGCACGTGGACTGGGAGCCCCGGCGGAGCGAGTGCCAGAAGGAGGCAGCTGCCGAGCTGGCAAGACGGCCCCAGGCCTTCCCTCCCAGGACCAGCCCCGCCCGAGGAGCAAGCCAGAGCCAGGACGCTCTGCTCCGAAGCCTGCGTCCCACCTGGAGGCCAGGGCCTCGGGTCCCCTAGCCCAGGGGCTGCCCCCGTGGAGAAGGGGACAGGTTCCAGCCCTGGAGCTGCCGGGTACCGGGCCTTGCCTGAACCAGGGATCCCCACTTCCATTAGGAGAAGTGCCACCGCGAGCCCAGATGGTGCCTGAGGCTGTCCAGGTTGGCGCCGCCTTCTCACAGCGAGGACCCGGGAGCCTCACATAAAGACATTCCCCTCGTCGTGGCCCTCAAGCTGCACCACGGACGCGGCCAGGGCTCCCAGCTCATGCCAGCAGCAGGTCGGGTGTTGAAACTGGTGGTAGCTAGCAAACATGTTTTGCTCATGGACAGTGCAAGCATGCTTGGTTAGCTCACATGGCATTAAAAAAAACCCAACTGTCTGTCCAATCAAGTAGCCAATTTAACTGAAATACAATTTTAAAAATCAGGCCAGCACTTTGGGAGGTGGGGGCGAAACGACTGCCTGAGCCCAGGGACTCGAGACCAGCCTGGGCAACTGGGTGAGACTGTGTCTCTACGATAAGTAAATTAATTAATATAAAAAACCAATTCTCCCAGTTGCATTATCCGCGTTTTAAAGTGCTCCAAGGCTCTTTCCGGTAATGCTGGAGCTATGGGAGGCCAAGGCCGGAGGATCGCTTGAGCCCAGGAGTTCGAGACAAACTTGGGCAACACAGCAAGACGCCATCACTCACACAGACAGAAATCAAAAGAGAGAGCGAGGCAGAGCGCGGGGCCCTGTTTCCCCACAGCACCTGGCAGAGGGCCCTGCCCGCCTCGCCGGACGCACACGGAAGAGGCAGGACGACTTCCAAGACTCGGGCAGACGAGGTGGGGGCGCCCGGCTCCCCCTCGGCCGCGGACGGTGTCCCGGCCCCCAGCCTGCTGCGGCCCGGCTACAGTCAGCACTAGCTGCCAGACGCTCCGGAGCCCGCCAGAGGCCTCCAGTGTCCGGTCTCTGCGTCTTCCGGTGGAGGCGCCGGACATCTGGGGGCGAGAGAAGCCACCCCGCTTTGTCTTGTCTGAACTCCTGACCCGCAGAAACTACGAGCCCGATAGTTGTTGCCTTCAGCCATGAAGTTCTAGGGTAACTTGCTACACAGCCCCTAACCGGGCTGATGCTTTCGGAACAACACCCTGACTGCCTCGTAAATAAGACGCTCAGTAACCGCTTTTGTAACAGAACAAAGTGAAACAGGCGAGGTGGCATGCGCCGGCCGCTTCCTCGGGAGGCTGAGGCGGGGTGTGCTGGAGGGCCACGAGCAAGACCCGGCCTTCATTTGGAAACACAGAAAGAAAAGGGAGCGCTGGCTCGACTCACCACTCAGGAGGCACCATGCTCCCATCCACATCCCAGAACGTGTCTCTGCCGTTCATCTCAGTCGTGTAGACGACCCACCGGTGCCGGCCTGGGGAAAGACCACGTTAGGCAGACAGGAGGAAATGATGGAAACCCCGTATTTTTCAGGCATGAATGCACAATATCAAAGAAGACAACCTTTTGATTAAGGAGAGCCTTCTGCACGCACTTGCCCGAGAGAAACGTGAGTGGGCACCTCCCTGGGCTAGTCGACGAACGCAAGCCCCAGGAAGGGCACGGCAGGCTTTGCTCAGCCACTGGCTGCCACCGCAGCAGGTGCCTGCAAAGGACGGAGATGGCCACCACGCTGGGTGGGCTCAAGCCCTCCCCACTGGTCAGCCCTTGCTTCTCCCCCAGTGCCCCACAGAGGGAGCACAGAGAGCGTGGGATGTGTCCCCAGCTGCTCAGGGCACGCAGGAGAGCGCTCTTCCCAGACAGGGGTGGAAACGGCTCACAGCAGTCACACTCGAGTACCGTTTCCATATAAATATTTTAAACAAGCAACCCGAGTCCTTTTAGAAAGGTGTGACTTACACACAACACACCAACATGATAAGTGATGGCCAGGTGGGTAGGCCTGCTCTGTCCTCAAAACAGCATGGCTGCATTCCCTCCCCAACAACGTCTGTGGACTAGCTGGGGCCTAACCACTACTTACAAAACTGCTTCTGTTGGGTCCTTAAGGTGGGCAAAGACCTGGGTTTCAGCCAAGGCGTTGTCATGTGTTACCAAGAGATACCGGGCACATTTCATGAGCCTCAGTTTCCTTACCTGTTAACAGTGGATGATCATCCCTATGTCTTAGGGTTGCCATGAAAATTAAACATCACACATACACACCTAGTTCAGTGTCGAGCATATCAGCGCATAATAAATATGAATTCCTTCTACCCCAGTCCCAAAAAGGGAGCACTGAAGTCAGTAATGGATTTTAAACCAACAAGCAAAAGCTAATCTGCGTTTAGTTAACCAGATTTTCCCGGGCAAACATAGCTACCAAACACTGACTAATGTTGTATATACACGAGCTCGTCTATTACAGAAACAGACTTCAGGCAGGGTTTGTGGTTTCTTTTAAGGAACTCAATCTCGAGAAAAGCTGACTGAAAGCAAAGCAAGATCCAACGAGCAGGGGCTGTGCAAGTGGAGGAGGAGACCCCGAAGGCTTCAGAATCGGGCCTGGCCACCAAGCAGGACCCTAAGGGCAGCCCTGGGCTCTGGCCACCTCTCTCCCTCACTGTCCTGTGTCTGGAGTATTTTTGTGTTATACACGTCTTTGACATCTTCTCACCTCATCGCGACAATAAATCAAAAAATCAGCCGGGCGTGGTAGCGCGCGCCTGTAATTCCGGCTACCTGGAAGGCTGAGGCGGAAGGATCGCCGGAGCCCAGCGGGTCGAGGCGGCGGGGGCCGGGAGTGGCCGCTGCCCTCCCGTCTGGGCGACAGAGTGAGACTCCGACTCAAAAAAAAAAAAGAAAAAAAATGACATCTTCTCTCTGTCTCGCAGGTCCCTGTCATTCTTCAACAAAGTATGAGTCGAGCAACCAAGTATTCTTAAAAATGGGTAACTCATCAGTATCCAATTGATGCACACAAGTGTCGCTTTCAGAGTCGGCTACCGAAACATGTCGTGATGGTGTCTTTGTTCTCAACACGGGCAGAATGAAAGCTCAAAAGGGAAAGTGCTGAGACGAAGGACACGGACCACGCAGCCCTCTCTGGGCTTCAAAGCAGAGCAGGACAACTGTGAGCACATCATCTTGCCAGACCACCCCACGCACCCACGCGCCTCCACGCCGGTCTGCACGTCGGGCTCGTCACGCTGAAAGACACCTCAAGGGCCGGCCGGTGAAAGGAGGCGACCCCCGAGGAGCCGCATCTCTG